AATGCAATCGAAAAGCGTCTACCAGCAGGGAAGGGGGACATGCCCAGGCAACCCTTGGGGAGGCAAATCAAGGCAAGAAGTTTGGGATCGTCACATCTGCAGTCTGTTTAAAGCCACATGCACGCAGATCTGATGTTTTGACTTCTCTTCTAAGAGCTGCACTTCATTCTTGAGCCATGTTAGGAAGAAATTCTTCCCCATGAGGGTGGTGAGGCCCTGGCCCAGTTTGCCCAGAGAAGCTGTGGCTGCTCCCTCCCTGGTAGGGTTCAAGGCCAGGTTGGATGGAGCTCTGAGCACCCTGGTCTGGTGGAAGATGTCCCTGCTGATGGCAGGGGGGTTGGAACCAGATGATCTTGACGGTCCCTTCCAACCCAAACCATTCTCTGATTCTATGATTCTATAGCCTCACCTTAGATCCTGCTTGGTTTTCCACGCTGTTGCTCCTTCTGACAGGGCAGAACCTGGACATCAGTAACAAAGTAATTCGCTACTATTAAAACAGTACCTAAAGATCCAGCCGTTCAATTAATTACAGAACCAGCAGGCTTAAAGCTTCTTTGGGTTTTGTGGTTTGATCTTCAGCTCTGAGGACTCTCAAAAGCTCCCAACTTTCCCCAAAGAGTGTTAATAATGAGTACATAAACGAACTGCCATCCCTCATTTCCTTCACACGACAGCTGAACACTCATGAAATCATTTCAGGGTTGCAGAAAACGCATTGTTACTTATTCCCTCCCCTATACCCTCTTCTTTGCTATAATACACCAAATACAGTCCTTCGTAGCCTTGTGATAAAAACTTCTCTACAAAGAATGAATCAAGTTTCCTACTACAGGTCAGGGAATAGGTGGAATCAATTCATAGTTTGATTTAGAATACAATGCACAGCCTACGCTCTCTTACACCTCTGAATCACAACACAGGTAAAGACCGTGCAGAAATTATGGGATACAGGTGGTGGAAGCATCACTGAAAGATGAATGTATTATCAAGACTAAGTCCAGCTTCGGATCAGCATATGCCGAGTCCAGTTTCGGGTTTATTAATAGGGGGATTTTCTAGCTGAATCTTAAAGAATATGGTTAAAGTCTCTATAAGGATTTTCCTATAATCAAGATTGCGCAACATCCTCTAAAGCTCTATGCAAATTCCCAGTTATGGGTGAAGAGGCAAAGGTTGCCCTTGCTGGGCTGAAGAATCATCTGAAAACCGCCAAAAGGAGCAAGTTTCTGTTACTGGTCTGACTCTTCTGGAAGGAAATCAATAAACAGTGTTGCAGCTGGGACTTGGTCCTGTGCAATTCATCCACCACAACTTTCTAGTGGTAGGCTACAACATACCCATGCATCATACAATGAAGAACCTCGATAATCACATTTCACGACACAAAGCACAATTGCACAGCTTGCTTCTGAGCTTAAAACACAGTCTAGCAGGGAAAAGCACAAACTGGATATTCAGAAAAAGTGAAAGCATATGAATTGCAAAATCTGGGAGGATAATTCTTCCAGATAAGACAGTTATAACAAAATACTAACCAAAAAATGAGGGTTACGTCCTGTATAAACTATCATAACACAAGATGTATTGCTGAGCAGCCAGCGACAAGGATGTTCTCCGTGCATCACTGCTACCATACGCTACACGTCTCTGCCTGACACAGCAAATACGGCACCGCGGGTGCTGATGCTCTGACCAACCGCGGCGTGAGCAGCCCGACGCGCTGACACTGCAGTTACACACTCCGAGTTCCCAGGCACTATATTTAAACTTGGAGAACATGGTACTAGGGCATATTCTCTAACTAGCAGGGAAAAAAACAGAAAAAAAAAAAAATTATGCTCGTAGTTTAAACAGGGAAACAAACACCACCACACACTCATTTCCAAAAGAGTTTTAAGATGATCATGAAAAAAAACGGTTACCTTTTAGATTGGGCAAGGCATATGTAAATAGATCAGAGGAGAGACAGGTTGTTCATGTTGTTGATTGTACTGCTCTTTGCAGTAACTACTCACCAGCTATTTATGATAAAAATAAGCAAACAATATTTCAAAATTCAGGCACTATATTGAGGCCTTTATCTATATATATATTTTATTTACAGTCTATAACTAACATAATAATTTTTTGTATAAGGTTGGTTTTATCATGCTCGCAACTGAAAAATAGTAAAATAATATCAAGCGCTGGGAAATGAAAAGACAGCAAGGACAACTAAGAACAACTTCACTTTTTAAAAAGCATGCTCACCAAAGACAGTGTTAAGTATGCATAACTGTAGTAAAAGTAGTAATGAATTTGTGTAAACTTCACAATAACAAGAATAATAAGGCATGCTCTAGCTTCCAAAGAATTAAAAAAAAAATATATATTCAAGAAAGCTACACTCCACTTGATTACGGAAATATAAACAAAAAGCCGTTTCATTTTTTTCTGCTCACTTTAACAGATCCTAACACAACAGCGGTTTATTACACTCCATTAATGATACTTCACTTTCTATAGCTAAGTATAAAAGCTATAGGAAGCCATTCACTTTATTACCATACTCTACATAGATTTTTAAAATCCTGTGTGAAGATTGGTTAGGAGTAAAAACTGATGGCTATGGAAACACAGCACGTTACCAACCCCAGTCCCCTGAGGCAGGTCCCAAGAGCCATCTCCAGTCAGAAATCCGAGCCGAAAGCAGCAGTAGACTCGAGGCAGGGCTGCGCGGGGAGAGCTGAGGAGCAGCTCGCTTCCTGCCTCCATCCCCTCCTCTTGCCAGCAGACCACACGCAATTACCTTCCTAATCAAGAACATCCAGCGAACAATCTGCTCAAAGATAACTGCTAAGTACATTTGCCACCAATATGCACAAAATTATCGCTAATAAATGTCACTGTGTATTACAGTCAAGTGCTACTAGACATGAGATAAACACGGATCTACCCCAGTGACAAGAATCACTTTCCATACCACGCTGCGAGAACTCCCAGTGTAAGGAATCAAGATCGCGGGGGTCCAAGCTAACAAAGCGTCTCAGCTTTTGCATCCGTTTTACTGCACAACGCCAGAGGTGGGTGTTTTTTTAAGCCAAGTATAAACCCACAGGCAGCCCGCAGTGATGGTGGCTTAGCAGCAGGTGCTACTTTCTAATGCATCGGTTAGCTGACTTCATTCTCGGAGATTACTCATCACCGTTTAAATATATTAAACCATTTCAATGCGTAGCACTTAATCTTTTGGCACCAGAAGTCTGACTTCCCCAGAGCAACGGCAGGCCCCAAGGAGTTAAACAGATTCTAATGAACTGTTTTCAGCACTCAACGAGCTCTGTCCTTGCTGGACTGACTGTTGAGGGAAATCCAGTCACATCCTTTTGTGGTTGTTCTTCCACAATTCACCCGCACTGTAGTAGCGTTCTGATACCAGTCCTTTATGCCAGACCTTCTTCTGGCTTTATGCAATAAACAACCTGCAATTACGAACTCAACAGTTATCTTTACAATAAAGCAACAGAAATCAAGGCTCCTGTGCCAGCATCATCCATCACATGTTCTGTAAGAGCATCTCGATGAGGCGCTACACAAAGATTTGGGGCAGACAGTGTTACGATTTTCTTTTTTGCTGTAATTCACATTATTCACATTCAAAAGAAGGACGGGACAGCACAAAGAACAGCTAGATTATTTGGGCACCTTCCCTGCCATCTTTCATCTTGTGTAATACGTGCTCCATTTCCTGGAGTTGTACTTATTTTTGAACATTCTGCCTAAATTCTTTGACTTTTCCTGTACTCTTGTATAAACTACTGCCCACGAACTGAATTTTAGAAGTTGCTTTCTTAATGGATCAGTTCTAACCACAGTACTGTTATCTTCCCTCACTAGATTCCTAAAAATTGCATTAATCCTGCTCCCAGGCTGATGGTGGTTCAACGTATGTGAAAAGAAACACTAAATAATTGGAACACCACCGTTCCTACAGTCGTATATGGTCAGCTTCACCTCAATTCTACGCTGTGCTTCTGAAGAGGACTGTTACCACCTTTCAAATTGTATGAAAGCTAAGGCAAGGTCTACACCATCACTGTTCAAAAAAAATGCCAAATGAAGTTCGTGAATAAATGACCATTGTAAGTTTAATACAAAACTTTAAAGAAAAAATAAGCCAAACAACCCCTGCTCTAGAAGAGGTCTGTTTTGCTATGAGAACCCTGAATGTGCCAACAGCTTGTTCACAAACATTTCATTCTAGCAGATGACAGTCAACGCGTTACTAAGAGCTCTCACCACATTTTGAAGATGTTCTCTTTCATACGTATGACACTAAGGAAGATGGTTTACACCAAACTACTTCAGACCTCAAAAGAAGTCAGTCTGTTTTACGACTGACTACAAACTTTCACTCTCACAGGTTGTCCTGAACAATAAACTTTTTGTATGTGATCTCACTGGTACTTCATTTCCAGTTTTAAAGCAAAATTTGGGATTCTTAGTCGAAACAAAACATAGAATTGTAGAATTATTTCGGTTGGAAAAGACCCTGAAGATCGAGCCCAATCATTAACCCAACACTACCAAGTTCACCACTAAACCATGTCCCTAAGCACCACGCCTACAAACACCAGAACTTGTCAGTTTCTTCCGGGATATTTGTTTCGTGAGCACTAGCTAGTTTCACTACCTACCATACGAGCCTGGTGCTTGCTCTTCATACGCAAAATGAAGCTGCAGCTCCTCTTCCGACATTCGACTGATGAACACTTTCAGCAAACAGCAAATAATAAACAGTGCATTGTGAGCCTGCCAGATAAAGAGGTGACTAGAAAAGAAGCAGAAAGAAACACAAATCAGTAATGCTTAACCTGCGAACATCCATCAAAAACCACAAGAAAATAGATGCCAGAGCAGACAAAGCAGTTTCCACAGCTGAAGCAAGGAAAAGCCAAGGTGCTCGAGCAGGGTGTCTTCAGTCAATGCTACAGCAAACAAACTGAAATGTATTTAAAAGAAGTATTTTGTTTTTTCTTCCCCCAAGAGACTACAATCCGACTCCTAATTTCCTTTATATTGTTAAAAACACCACGATTGCCAGAAGTACCACCCTTCAAAGAGCTCACCAGATGGCTCAGCGTACTTCTAAAACTTTCTAAGTACTACGGACTCAAGCCGCCCAGATATTAAAAAATTTCCAACAGTTGTGGATATGAAAGTTACTCTGGCTCCCTGAACCTTAGCACTTTTCCCAGACAAACAGCCTTCAGATGACCACAGGCATTTACGGAATTCAGGAGCACAATGTAGCAAGATCTTTCTATGCAACACACAGAGCTATCTTCCAAGCTTTCTGAATGCAAGGGGAATATAGCTTCATTATGTTTTCTTGAGTCCCAGTAAGCAGCTGCTGGGAAGCCGTACAACAGCGTATAGTCAAGCTCTTGCTTGAAGCTATAGTTTCAAGGTATTTTTGGATCAAAGCAGCAGGAACTATCCAGGAGGAATAACTTCTTCCTTCAGATATAAGCAAACAGGTTGAGGGCAGTCCTGAAAGCAGGGGAGCATTAAAAAGAAAATGTTCCTTTCTGAAACCCCAGATGTGATGAGAGTTGGACATCTGTCTTACGGGTGTGGGGGAACAATTACAGAAAGCTTCCCGCAAAAAATACACAGCGCTGTGCACGTAACCTCTTGGCGTTCTTTCCTATTGCTGAAAGGGGCAAGCAAAACCAACAGCAGTTGCATGATATGATTTGTAAGCAATGCCTTTATACAGAAGGTTGTGTTCAAATCCAATCCAATTCAAAATATTTCCAAGATAAAATACTGGTTCACACATTAAGATTTAGCTACAAAGGTCAGGTGATTTTCAAACAGCTCCAAAGCAGTAGTAACCAGAAGTTACATCATTCATACACGAACGTGCTTACCTGACACAGGATGAACACAAACGTGTCTTTTTCCCCAGCAATCTATTTACCTATTACACTTACTCTTCTGTGTTTGGAAAAGTACTAGACACTTGTTCTGTTTCAAACAACAATTTAAGAGAATTCTAAGTCTTGGTCTGTGATTATGTTAACTGGCAAAGTAAAAAACTCTAGAGCTAGTGGCAAAAGGAACATTTCAAAAGTGAAATGGCACATGCCGCTCTTTCCTGGGTACTTACTTTTGACATTCTGCTGAAATTTTTAACTCTTTGGTTCTAGAAAGAAAAACTTTAATCAACGACCCAAGGTTTCCTGTTCGAGGATTCTTCTCAACTAGATGAGGAAAAATAAGATACGATTATATTGCATGCGTAAGTTGACATTATTTAGTTCCAACAATATATAGAATGAAACCAAATTTCAGTATCTTAAATATTTCACAGTATGTCTGTTTTTCTGTACAGCTACTGTTCTTCTTTTAAGATTCTCCAGCACATGCCTTGCTACTCTGTAATTGTTCTCCAAACATACTTTTCATCCTAGATTTCAAATATCCCAAATGTGGAGCTGACGCTGCTTCCTTTCCAAGATTTGTCTACAGCACAACAGCCTCCTGTCAGAAAACTGGGCAGGTTTTCACAACTCGCTTTTCCCTTCTTGCAACATCATTGATTGCATTTATATGATCCCTTCCTTTTGTCATCTGATTAATTCTTTCCCCTTATTGATCAGCCTAGAGGGCACAGAGAAAAAGAGGTAGGAGGGATGGAGTTATTTGTTTTAAACCTTCCAGTCATTTGAAGTTCTACAAAACAGTTCACGACAGAAGTTTCTAAAAGTTTGCGATATATATAAACACACTCTTTACACTAACCTCACTAGTGGAACACAGCCAATTAGAATTAAGTATACTGAAGACATGGATGTGTATATGAATGCTGCTTCTTAATTTTTCTGATCAAGCATACGGAAAAGAGTTAAGATGTCACAACTCCTCACCTAAAGACTTGCAGACTGAGATTGTGGCTTCTTCCAGGAGCTTTAAGTCAGCACTAGGGGAGGGGGGAAAAGAAAACAAAAATGGTTACACAAGCAATTGGGTTCCTGTACTTGAAGTGAAAATTCATTAGAAAACAGTAGTAAAATTTTTCTGCGAAACACTTAATTTTACTATTCCATTAGCTGGTTGATGTAGATATCCCAGAAGCCGTGGTTGAGCTGAGAAGGGACCTCTGCAGAATGTCTTGTCCAAGCCCCCTGCTGAAGAAGGCCCACCTACAGCCAGTTGCCCAGGACTACGTCCAGGTGGCTTCTGAGTATCCCCACAACCTCTCTGGGCAACCCATTCCAGTGCTCGCTCATCCCAGCATCAGGCACTACAACATGCATCTGAAGTACAGTGACAATAAAACAGGGAACTACTACAAGTGACGTGTTTGTCACAGCAAAACAATGTCACTGCATTATTCGTGTTACCACTACCTTCGTAGCTTCAACGCTGCCATGCTTAGCTGGATGACACTGAAAATACACACAGAAGGGCAGCCCACAGAAAGAACTTGGTTTTTTTACAAGCACTATCATATGAAATAACATCTTTTCAAATAGCATAAATTAAAGAATCCTCAACCTGACATTCAACCTCCAGCTAACTACTACTTCCCTCTAACTAATGTTATTATATTAATGCAACAATCATCAGACACATCACATTTTTCATAACTTCATTAATTGCCTGTCGGTATGTCTCAGTGAAAACCATCAGCTGAAAAGAACAATAAAGCACTACAGCAGAACCTGCCAACAACCACTGAAAGCAAACAGCAGCTGCATCAAACACACAAAAAGACATTTGTATACTCCTATCTCTACAAACCTATCAGCACAGAGTAACCTATCCTTGAAAGCAAAACAAAAGAATACATGGAAAGTATATTTTTCCTTAACATATGGGGGAAAAAAAAACCCCAAACAAATAATAATCAGATATTGTGTCTAATGCCACATTAAGCAATATGAAGGTGTCCCAATATTAACACCTCAAGAGCAACCTGCACCAGTGTTTCACCACACGCATCGTAAAAAATTTCTTCCTTATATGTAGTCTGAATCTCCCCTTTTAGACTAAAACCATTTCCCCTTGTCCTATCACAACAGGCTCTACTGCTCAGGATATTGGAGAAGACTGTACAGCCTCTATACAGCCTCAATTCACCACAGTCTG